ATGGTTTTAAACTAAACCAGGGTAGGTTTAGACTGGATATAAGGAAGAAATTCTTTACAATGAGGGTGGTGAAACACTGGAATGGGTTTTCCAGAGAGGTGGTGGAGGCCCCATCCCTGGAAGCATTCAAAGTCAGGTTGGACGGGGCTCTGAGCAACCTGATCTGGTTAGCGGTGTCCCTGCTGTCTGCAGGGGGGTTGGACTAGATGACCTCTAGGGGTCCCTTCCAACCCAAAGCATTCTATGATTCTATGAAATACCTCCTGTGGGGAAAAAGGAAACCTCTGAGCTCCCTGTCCTGCCTCTTTCTTTCTCGGAGGTTTTTTCTGTGTACAGATTTCTTGCACAAGAAAGATCCCATGCAGCAAGTTACATGAAACAGCTGTGCCACCATTACAAAATGTAACACTGCCTAACACTATTAATAGACATTTAATGAGCTCTCCAAATAGTTTCAAATGCAGCAATCTCACATCATTGAATACAATTAAATACAGCCTTTGCCTGAGAGTAGCTTATGTCAGGCTGCATCCTAATTCTGTGTTCGGTATTAGGGTAGAGCAGAGATGATGCATTAGGCTGGATTATGCTACCTGTCAGGAAAGTCTAAGTGAATCAGTCGGGATTTCTCAAGTGTATTGGCCTGATTCTCACTCCATGCTTGGTTTATTCTGTTTAGACATGGTTGGACTGCCTAGGTTAATCACAGGACCTAGATCTCTGCATTTTTAAGGTAATAGATAAATTGCAGCATGAAGCCAAGGTGTCAAATGTTGATACTGCTGGGAAATGGGATGTGGCCAGCTGTAGGTGCAGCACAGTCATCCCTGAGGTTGAAATGCCACCTTGAAGCATGGAAAAGTAGTTAAAAGTCATAACAAGGATCAAAAAGATCCCGAGTAGTCAAGGGGCCATATCAAACTCCAGTCTGAGAAGATGTTAATATAGGTTTCATCCACCCCTTATTACACCAGCCTGGAAAAAATGAACTGCATTTCTAATCGCTCTGAGCCTGCATCTTGTCAGAGCAAGGTGACCGTGCCAGGTCCCTGTTCAGCAGCTTTTCTCGCACCAGAGCTACCTTTGCACATGAGTGCCTACAAGGCTGCCAAACTGCCTGCAGAGCTGCATGTTCTGGCAAAGTCTAAGGATCTGCCCAGCGGGGTCTCAGTGGCTGCTGGGAGAGGGGTAGTTCATCTGCAGAAAGCTCTGGCAAGGATATATTTAATTTCTCTTCATTAATGCTTTCCATAGAAACTGCTGATGTTGTGATGGAATAGCAAAATCTCAAAACCCAGCCTACTTTGGGTTTTCAGGCATTGTGTTTTGGAGAGTTGTGGTTTTTAAAGCTGTGATGGAGGGTTCCCTGGAAGTAGACACTTTCTAGAAACATTTTAATTTAGCTAACATCCCCCCATTTTTTTCATACAAATTATCTGTCAGAAGTCTTCGACTAGTTTGAAAGGAACTGTGTGGGTAAATTTTGGGTCCAGATACTCAACCTACATCAACCTACGTCTCTTAGCTGGAAGTTCTGGAGACATACCAGCAAAACCTGGAGCAACATAAGCTGTGATGTCCAAGTCACACAAGCCTACATTCCCACTAGGTTTACTGGAACTCACCAACAAATTTGACCCCCTGTTCTTTTATATCAGTAGCTTTGCAGGACGCTTGGGGAAATTTTTTTAATCCAGGTGCACAGTCTGCTCGTTTAGCTAGATGGCCATGATGAGAAGTTTAAATCATCTTCAAGATGCCCACAAGGAAAATTATTCTGATAAGTACAGTGCTGGAGGGATTTTTGAATCCCAGAACTCTTTGTCTTCAGGCCCAGAAATGTGGGATCATTCTGGCTGAACGTGTACTAAAGCTGGAAGTTTATTCATTGCGACGTGCATATGCAACTGCCAGTGGTGGAAGTAGGCAACCAGCCGTGGGCCAGGAGGGCAGAAGATGCCCCATGGAGGTGCCTAGCTGACCCATCGCTGCAGGAGGAGCAAGAGTGCCATCTCCAGCTGCGGTCCTCTCCGCTCTGGAGCGTGCTACAAAAGAAATGCAGCTTTGCCCACATTCCCACCTCCAAAAATAACATTTCTAACTCTGTTTCTGGCTTTCCTTTTAGGTATGTCTCCATCCACTCTCTGTAGTTTTGTTTCATCTGCTTCTTCAGGCGTTTCTGCGGTAGGAGGGGACCGGAGACCCAGACCCACCACAGTGACCACAGTGCACACAGGGAGCAAGTGAGAGCCGGGGCGGCGAGGAGCGGGCAGGCGGCTGGGCTGGCAGGGTTCCTCCGCACCACCCCACCCTGCGGTGCGCGCTCAGCGAAGGACTAGAAGAAAGAAGATTTTTTATGGCCATATTTTATACTGCAATTCTGAAATGTTTCATTTATCACAAACTGCAATGACTCCAGGGGGAACAGATCTAACACTCTCTGGTGCTGTACATATATATACATATATATATAAATATATATATATATGTGAGTCTAGCAATGTTCTAACTAACGAACACTCATTCTTTTCCCCAGTGATTTACTCTTTTCTCAGTGTAGGTAACAGTATATGTTGTATTTTTTTTCCATTAACTACAAACATCTCAACTGGATTATTTAAATAGAGATACTTTTCTGAGCATTATTTTTTTTTTCTTTTAAAAAGTACTTCCAGTAATGTCCCTCCTTCCAGTTTGCTGGGGGATAGGCTATTTCTGTAGGTAGGAATTGACGTTAACTTCACAACACGGGAGGATTTCAATAGCATGCCATTTCCCGCTCCTCAAATTGGACTGCAAGTCTGCCTGGCTTTAGCAGAGCTGTTCCTGCTCAGATCAAGAACCTGCCGCTTTCCTCCCCTCCTCCTCCTTGAAAGCCATGGCAAGAGTTAAATTGCCACCAGCTGGGAGTCAGCGCATCCTTGGCCTCATTGCTGTAGCGCTGGGGATCTGCAGCACCCTTGTTTCAGAGGAGAGGCAGATGGCCATCAGGAGCCAGCCAGAGCTGAGCAAACGAAATGACAGAGCATGGGCTCATCCTGCAGCTCTTATCTCCTTCTACTTGCTTGTGTGTTATGGCAAAGTGAAAGAAAAGGAAAAAAGGAAGACGTGGGGCCAGGAGTCATAGTTCTCCTCTGCACCTGACTTGCTGCCCTTGAGCAAGACATTTAATTCACCAGCCTCCTCCCAGCCTGGCCGCCCATCCCCACAGGTCCATACAAGATGTGCTGAGCACCTGAAGCTCCTCAGGGCTTCTCCTGGCATTGCTGATGCTCAGCACCTCCTAGAGTGGCCAAAAGCAAGTATCAGAAATCAAATAGAAAAGTTTTGACCTTAATCTCTGCATGCCTGGGTTTCACCCCCAGGAGGAGGGGTGATGCTTGCACCCCTCTGTGAAGCACTGGCAGGTCCTTGGGTGCAAAGTGCAGGATCTGGTGTAGCATTGCTCTATCAGGCTTAGCTCTGGCCAAGGGCTGGCGAGGAGTATTGAGCTGGGACAGCAGGACCTCGCCGAAAGGCATGGGCACCTGCAGGGGCAGTGGTGGCACTGTCTCCCTTCCCCTCCTCCCCAGAAGCTCATATACAAAAGCAAACTCAATTTCCCCCCTTTTTTTTAATTGCTAAATACATGCCCTTCCCAAGTGCCATGTGCTGGTGGATCATTTAGGAACAGCCACCATGACTATTGTGCAGCTGTGCATTACAGCAGCTTGAAATGGAGCAGAGACCAAATCTGCCCAGATTTGCCAAAGGGCTCCAGGTTATTCCTACGCCGTTCCCAGCTGTGATTTTCCTTTAAGAAGGAGAGAAAGCCCTTCCCTGGCCACTGTGAGCCTCTCGCACCCCAGCCAGAGGCACAAGCCATTTTCCGTGGTGTGCTCTGTTGCCACGCTTGCCTCATTTATCCTCCACAAGAAATGGTGAAAGCCAGTCACAGACACAGCTGAACGTATCAGGCAATAGTGACCGTGCTGGGAAAAAACATAAAATACATATTTTTCGTTGAGACTTCAAAATCCTGCCTCAGTCAGTTGGCTTCAACTGGCAGAGACAGGATTTCATCCACCATCCTTTGAATGCTAAAAGCTGGAAAAGCAGGTGGCAGCAAGCGCTGACTCTGAAATAGCCACTCCTTTGGTGGCACTTAAAGCTGTTGCAACTGATAGGTCTCTAGTTTCCTTGGTACTAAGCTGCTCCCTGTTTTTGGAGTGCTGTGGCACACCTGAGTGAGGCCCTGGTGCCCCCCCTCACCGTGTTGCAGCTGGCATGGATGCTCACACAGAAAGGCTTAACTTCAACTTCTTGTTTTAGGAAAGATGCCAGATATTGTTCTCTTAGGGGTTGGTAGCAAAACTCCATATAATTTCCCTGGTGAGGACTTCCGACCAAGATTTGGGCAGACCAAAGGGCAGGGGATGTCCTTGCTGCAAGTCACAGTCCTGTCCCCATCCCCTGGCCATATACTCCTGCCCCACTGACAAAAAGTAAGTAGAGCTTTGTTGGCATTTACCTGCAGAACTCTTCATGTCTTGCTGCAAATGTATCTAAAAATGAGTATAATACAATTTAAACTCATTCTAAGGCCACTTCATTTTGCCAGCCTAAGGAGGGAAGCTTTAGTTTAGGAAAGACTCCTATCCCAAGAAATTCAAGTTATCTTGAACCCCCATGATTTCGTAAGCCCAGCTGGCCCTATTCTGCTCCAGTTGCAGGGATGTAAATAGGCAGTCTCCCAGTTTGGCATCAGTGGAGTTCCCTACGTTTACACACATGCAACAAAAAGCAGGATTTGGTTAGGGAATATTTTCATCTTTGTAGAGTGGTTTAAAGGTTAGGGCTCAAGCGTTCCCTCTTTGCCTTCTCTTCTGAAACCTGAGGTCTGGTTTGAACTTCGCGTAGTCGCTGAGGCCACTAATCAAAATGCAGCACCCAAACTTATCTTGCAGAAAAAAAATGGATTTCCATCTGCAAAACAAAGAGCAGTGATGGGAGCAAAGGCAGACATGCTGTCCTGCAGCTGCAGGGGGGTCCCATACGCTGGCTGCCCTTCCTTGCTGGATGCTTTCTGGGTTTTCCTTTGTGAGGGGTATTCTTTTCTTCCCCACTTGGAATTAGGGTGATGTGTCTTCCTTCCTGCAAGTAATATTCTGCCATAGTTGTGTAATTTATCGTCATTCTCCTTGGCTTGCTATCAAGTGCAGGGATCTTAAGACAAGAAACAGAAGCACGTAAAAGCAAAATTGTTTTTTTCTGCTACAACTTTGGGTGATGGGAAGCTCTTCTTTTGTATCAGTGAAACACAGCTGGAGACCGGACTGGGGTTCAGCAAATACTTAGAGAACTCTCCTGTCACTGAGTCCTGAAGTATCTCTTGGTTAAAATTTCTCAGTTTAAATCTGGGTAAATCTGTTAACTGAGATGACTTACCCAGGGCAGATTTATGGAGGGGGCTGGAGCTGTTTGCCCCTTGGCAGCGCAGCCTGGTACGGTAAACACTCCGGCATTGCTTGCCAGGGATGCTCCAGGGCCATTGTGCGTCCTTCCCCTGCCCCACGCCACCTCTGCTCAGCCACTCGCACATGTGAATGCAAAGCCAGGAGTAAATAACGTGTGCATGTGGGGAAAGGGCTTTTAGCCCCAAAGGAGAAGATCCCAAACAAATCCCCAGCTGACCTTGCCATGAAGGAGCAGGTAGAAAAATCCCTCTGGGCTCTTTCCCAATGGACGGTCCTACTAAACAATGTGTGATTTGTTCCTCACGTGAGGACTTCAGCCTGGACTCACCTCTCTCTTACCCTTTTCTGCTTTGCTTTACTGGCACCGGTGTGTTTTTCCTTTGTAACTTGTTTTCCTCAGCTCCCTCCCCTTCTTTTTCTTTGCTTGCAGCTTTGATTGTTGATTTTTACCTCCAGAGTCACAGAGGCCATCTCTGATGCCAACAGCAGTGCTCTTGCTTGGAAAACAAACAAACAAAAAAAATCCAGAAAAGCTCCGGCTGGCCCCTTAGCCTGCAGAAGTTGTGAGGACAGGCTGCCCGTGAACTCTGCGAGCTGGAAGTCAGCATTGCAGTGGCAGGGGCTCCCGCTGCTGATTTTGCATGTGACTTCATTCCCAGGGCATCCTACCTTTCTGCTGGATCGCCCCTTCTGCAGCGCAAGGTGGATAGTGGCCCCGCGGCACGGCTAGATCTCTGATGCCAACAGCAGTGCTCTTGCTTGGAAAACAAACAAAAAAAATCCAGAAAAGCTCCGGCTGGCCCCTTAGCCTGCAGAAGTTGTGAGGACAGGCTGCCCGTGAACTCTGCGAGCTGGAAGTCAGCATTGCAGTGGCAGGGGCTCCCGCTGCTGATTTTGCATGTGACTTCATTCCCAGAGCATCCTACCTTTCTGCTGGATCACCCCTTCTGCAGCGCAAGGTGGATAGTGGCCCCGCGGCACGGCTAGTGGGGAAGCAGGAGTGCGGGGAAAAACTGGCAGTGATGCTTTCCTGAGACTGTGTTACTCTGCGGTGATGTGTCTTCTGTCCTGGTTGCTGTTGTACAGGTGCCATTAGAGTAGTGGGGGGGGGAAAAAAAAAAAAAAAAAAAAAAAAAAAAGTAGGATTTTACCTATGCCTTGTGTGTCTGTTATGGTTGTGGTGCTGAAATAAAACCAAGCAATGACAGAGGTTCATTCCTGATATGAGTCAAACCACAAAAAGGGGTGTCAGCCCACTGGTAGACATCTCCATGGAGTTCTGCAGTAGGCATTAGATAGGGGGTTCCGCTGTGCATGTATCCCGCATACCTCCAGGGCTATTGAAGGTATTTTTTCTAGAACCAGTTCTCCTCCTTCTGGGCTCCTGCCCAGCCCTGAGGGACTTCCGAGCTTGTCCAAAGCTTTTCTCAGCTCCGGGAGCCAACACAGCCCCTGACCTCTGGCTTTTCTTCCCAAACCCTCTGCAAACCAGAGCACAAACCTCCGGGGGTGCCCCAGAAATGCAGTGGCAGCCAGCCCAGAGGCTGTCCCTTCCTTAAATGTGACCCTGTTTTTAGCGAAGCAAGCCCACGGGGAAAGCCAGATAGTTTTCAACCATTGGTGAGCAGGGAGAATATTGTCCTTCACTGTGAACTTGGCATTAACTCGATCAGATATAGGGAAACCTGTGCTATTATCTCTCCCTGTGATATCAAACAGCTCCAGCCCTGAGCAGCGCTGGGTGAGCACTACGTAAAAACACTGGATTGACTTTGCCAACAAGTTCATGCAGACTGTAGCCTGTTGCTTTTGCTCTCTCCAGAGAGTCAGGGGATTTATCTACTGGCAAAATAACAGTTTCTAGACTGAGCCCCAAGGTACAGAAGTATCATCCTTTCAGTGTTTGGAAATTCCCTCTTAATAGGATTACTTGCGTTCTTGCTCCTGTGCGTATTTATCCATCTGAATTGGGGCCTGAATGCATCCCAGAAATTATCCATGGGAAGGGAGTTTTGCCTTCGTTATCATGTTTATTTGCACCAGAAACTTGATGCTAAGAATTACACTCATTCAAGCAAAGAGTGGAAACACACCCAGAGACTACAGCATCCAAGGAAAATATCATCAAAACCTAACGTGGCGGATTAGTTGGCAAATCACTGTAAGCAATGGCTGAGTGAGGAAAGAGCAGCCTGCTCACAGACGTTGCACAGTTTCCCCTGGTAAATTAGTCATTCTGGATTTATTGCCCAGCAGCAGGTTTTACACAATCCCTTTCATTTTTCCCCGCATGCCTGCAGCCAGGTCCTGCCTTCCCATCCTGTCTGCCGGGGTGGTTCGGTCTCCGTGACACACGTGTGTATGCGTGCACGCGCATGTGTGTGTGTAGTGGCCCCAGGGATCACAGATCCCACAGGTTGGAGATCAGGAGTTGGTTCAGGTTTTTTGGTCTGCCTTGGTGTGTTTGGGTCAAAGCTGTGTAAATAACGTTTGTAAGGGAGGATAAAGGCTCTTTATCCCAGACCCTGGTTTTCAAGACCCCTTCCCCACTACGAACCGTGCCACTGATCTGTCAAGGTAGCTATTTTTTTCCTCCTCTTCATAAATGATAAGGTCAGGAGAGTAGCTCTTACATTTTTCCATGCTCCAGAGTGGAATCAGGGCATGGATGCTCGCAAGCGTTGTGAAAAAACACTGATGAACTAATGATGACATCAGATGTCCAATAAATGCATGATACTGCACTGCATGTATTAAACTGCTGGTCACTGTTTCTTGTATTTCCCAAGCCTTTTCTTTATGCACATTCAACCCAGCCTCTTCTTCGAAGGGTTTACTTCTACGTTTTGCTTTTAAATGACTCAATGTATCTGTAACTCGAAACCCATCAATTTGAGTAAATGCAAAAGCTGATGTTTTGTAAACAAGATACTGCAAAGCCTGGTAATGTATTTTGTCTTTCTGTTGAATGCTCTGCAGCATGTACAGGAAGAGCCACCATCCAGAGCAGCTTAAAACTATGCAGCAGTCACGTACTCACGTCGAGAAACAGGGAGTCGGGGAGGGGAGGGTCCCTTTTTTGATACAATGCTTTAAAATTCGATCCTATCCGCATCAAAAATTCCCTGGGTTGCTAACGCTCAGGACTACCAAGAAGCATGTTGGTGTGTCTCTTTTTTTTTTTTTTTTTCATTTGGTTCATTTTTCTTAGTCAAAACTTAGACTGGTTCACTCAGTATTTTTCTCTTACTGCAAGATATTTCTTTCTCACCTGTTGCAGAATGAACTGCATTTTGGGGACCAGGATGCTGTGATTATTTGCCTGCACAAAACAGGGCAAAGAGCTGAGTTGATCCCATCCTTTCCAAAGCACCACCACCTAAATACTAGCGCTTAATCCTTGAACCACCACATAGTACCACCATTTATCTGCAGAAGGGTTTGGTGTGGTACTTTCCCTTTTTCCACAATGCAATCATGACCTTGCCTTCTCTTCCCTTAATCATTGACCCATTTTCATTTTTGCTGGTCCTTCTAAGGCAGGGCAGGGTACAGGATGGCCACATGGTACCTTGAGCACAATCCTCTTGTGGGCATTGGCAGGGCAATGGTCCCAGCTCCTGAGCAGCTGCTGTGTTAGTGTGGAAGATGCTCAAGCTCCCAATACTCCAAACAGAGATATCTGAAAGGCTGGGAGACTGCTCTGGGCTCCTGGCAAGGGCATGCCAAGCAGCAGGGCTGGAGCGAAAGCACCATGCCGGTGGCATAGGGAGCAAGTATGTGTCCTTGGCAATTATGCAAGGGACTGCTCTGTGGTGGCTGGAAGCATCAAGTCTTGAGCCCACCGCCAAGGCTGGTGCTCAGCCAGGGTGCTGTGCCATTGCTGAAGCGCTACATGGCAGCATAAAAAAATCATCATTAATAATGGCCATAAATCAACTTGAGTTCAGATTGCTGAGGCAGCGTGTGGTGCAAGGCTCCACAAGGAGGTGGATGTGCACTGTGGTTCATGGTGGGTGGGAGATCCTGGGAGGTGCTCAGGGTAGGTCTGAGCTTCTCTATCTCTTATGTGCATCCCCTGAGCCCAGCATGGCATCACACATGCTATGTCTTACTAGATCAAGCTGTAGCATGACCCCCAAAGTGAAGAGCATGGATGGTTGCAGCTCAGTGGGAGACACGGTGTGGCTCGTTTCTGGTCATTGCAATGTCAGCATCCTGTTGTACATCGGCCTCACGGTAAAAAAACAGCATTTTGGTCAGTTTTGGGCCTTTTTTTTAGATAGATATTTGATCTGGGTCAGCAAACAATAAAAAAGCCCAGTCTGCCCAGACTAGTGACTCCCCAAATATCCCCAACTGCAAAACAACTCTTGGTTGACTTTTAACGAAAATGCAAGCATGTTTTCTACAAAGGCTTAAATCTTAATCAAGGAATGTCAGTGTGCCTAATATTGCAGGTCTTGTGATTGATCCAAGTTCATAACAGCATCCATGTCCAAACAGAGGGAGAATGTGTATTTACTCCATGCATGTATTAAGGCATCGTAAAAGTTTTATCTGCATAATGATTTTGCAATACTGCAAATTGTTAATGGGGCTACGTCGCAAGTGGTTCTCTGCCTTGACAATCATGTATACATATCGAGATTTCTATCATAATGACAATTTAAAGGGATGACTAATTGTTTTCCTCCAATAAATCCAATTAAATCACCCTGATGTGACATCTGATGTTTTTGAGTGCATGAGTCTCCACCCACGTGCAAGAAAAGGAGTGAATCATTCCTATGGCTGCTCCACTGCTCCATTGTGTTTTATGCAATGATGCTCCTTTATGTCCCAAAGGAGGATAGTGAGATTTTTTTCCTCACCGATTCGCTTCATAGGGAAATGGGTAAAAAGGATGACTTGTCCTTCAGGTGTTTCCTAAAGCTGCCATTGGAAGCGCTGCTGGCTGGCAATATATGGAGACATGGCTGTCTCCTGGGGCTTGAGAATATCTGTGAAGGGCTGGGTAGAGGAGATGCAGTTCTTGAAGGCTTCTGCCCCTTTTAGCTGGTCCTGGTGATTTACACAGCCTGTGGTGGGAATCCTGAAAGGAGATGGGATTTTCGCTAGTGTTTCTGAGTCCCTTTGCAGTGGGCTCCGAAGGCTGTTGTGTGAGCTCCACCACTGGCTTCCTTTTCCTCCAGACCATGTTCCCGGTGTGTGTTATGACTTGCTTTTTTCCCCCCTTATTCTTCATTTTCCCCACCTTTATTTCTGCTTTTCTGGCTTTCACTCACTGGCACACAAGAATTCCTTCCACTTTAAAAATAGTTGGCAAAAACACTACGCCCAGACAAGCATTGTTGGGCACCCAGCAGGAAGGTCGGCCCATGCTTGAAGTCGAAGCGGCTTTGGACATCTGGTTCAATAACAGAGCTGAAATGAATGACAGTGATAATGGCCAGCTCATAGCAATATAAAGAGAAAGGCAAATTACTTAAATAGTTTTTGTATTGTGAATGA